GAGTGACAATGTTGTCTTCGTTGCGAGGAGAGGGGTTTTCTGAGAGCGAGAACTCATATGCCAAGAGGACAGTGGGAGGCAAATTGATATTGAAGAGCTTCAAGAATCAAGCGATGAAGGAACCTCCAACACTGGCGCTCAACCCGAGGAGAAAACTCTTGTTGAACCGATTGACGAGTCCCTACCTCTTAGATGTCCTAGTAGAGTTAGTGTTCCACCCGAATTATATGGTTTCCATATAACTGCTGAGGGTGATACATTTATTAGTGATAGTACACTAATAAATTTGGATGAACCTAACAACTACAAGGAAGCCATGGCAGGCCTGGAGTCTGCGAAATGGAAAGAGGCTATGGACAGCGAGATTCAGTCCATGTATGACAATCAAGTTTGGAACTTGGTTGAAAATGTGTCAGGTCGTAAGACGGTTGGTTGCAAATGGATGTTCAAGAAGAATACCGACATGGATGGGAAAGTACACACATATAAGGTGCGATTGGTTGCGAAGGGCTTTACTCAAACTCCAGGAGTTGACTATGATGAGACCTTCTCACCAGTGGCAAAGATTAAATATATAAGGGTTATGCTAGCCATAACTGCATTTCATGACTATGAAATATGGAAAATGGATGTCAGAACTGTTTTCCTTAATGGGAAGTTGGCTGAGGATGTTTACATGAGTCATCCAGAGGGTTTTGTCAATGCAGAGCACCCTTTATAGAGTGTGTAAGCTTGAGAAATCCATTTATGGATTGAAGATGTAATCTTTGTTTCGATGAGAAAGTCAAAGAGTTTGGTTTTTCGAGAAGCGAGGATGAGTCCTGTGTATATGTCAAATCCAGTGGGAGTATAGTTAGCTTTCTCGTTTTGTATGTAGATGACATACTGATCATAGGAAACGACATCCCAACCTTGCAGGAGGTTAAGTCTTGGCTTGGGAAGTGCTTCACTATGAAGGACCTCGGAGAAGCTGCTTATATTCTAGGGATAAGGATATGGAGAATAGGAGTAAGAGACTAATAGGACATAGTCAAAGTACTTACTTGGATAAAGTGTTAAAACGTTTTAGCATGGAAAACTCCAAGAAAGGGGAGTTACCAATCCAAAGCAATACCAAGTTGAGTAAGACTCAAAGTCCGAGTACCGATGTCGAGATAGCATAAATGAGCAGAGTACCTTATGCTTCCGTAGTTGGCTCAATCATGTTTGTTATGACATATACTCACCCTGATGTAGCCTTCGCTTTGAGCATGGTCAGCAGATATCAAGGGAATCCTGGTAGAGCTCATTGGACTGCGGTAAAGAACATTCTTAAGTACCTGCGGAGGACTAAGGACTGGTTTCTTATCCTCCGTGGGAGTGATGACTTGAGAGTGCGAGGGTATAGTGACGCCAGTTTTCAGACCGACCGAGATAATTTCTGCTCTCAGTCGGGCTGGGTCTTTACCCTGAATGGAGGAGCAGTGACATGGAAAAGTTCCAAGCAGGAGACCGTAGCTGATTCAACGTGCGAATCAGAGTACATAGCAGCGAGCGAAGCGTTGAAAGAGGCAATATGGCTAAAGAACTTCATCGGAGACCTTGGAGTTGTACCTGCCATAAAAGAGCCTATGTAGATTTTCTGCGATAACGAAGGTGCGGTTGCGTTAACCAAGGAACCGAGGGATCATGGCAGATCCAGACATATCGACGGAAAATATCATTTCATTAGACATCGGGTAGAAGAGTGACTCCTCGTAGTTAAGAGGGTATCGTCAGAGGATAACCCAGCAGATCCCCTTACGAAGGGACTGAGTAGGGTTAAGCACTTACAGCACGCTATGAGCATTGGATTAAAGGACGATATAAGTTTTAGTGATTAAATAACTTTTAGAAACATGTAATAGATAAATTGTAATTAACATTTGATGATTAAATAAAGGAGTTTTATTTATAAGTAAAGTTACTGTCTTGTGTTAATTATTTACTATTGTTTCACTTTGCATGTTTTGACTTCTTATATAATAAGATTATTTAAACTATCCACAGTCGATCATACATTGGAAGTAATTATGAAAGAAGACTTTCATGAATTGGCTTGTAGATTGTCTAAGCATTTAGACATAGCAAAAGTTTGCTGCAATGTTCATGAGTGCTCCTGAAATAAGATTTGAGTATTGGATTAAACCCGCACTCACATGAATCACTTCATGGAATTAATTACGAGTGATTATGAGACGATGATATCATATCGTCTTTAAACCTAGATATATGAGTTGTTGTTTATGAGTCGTCTGTGCATTGATAATGCGTAAACACATCAGTAACTTGATGTTATAAAACTGCATTGTTGTGTACGATTTGATGAGTAAATAGTACAAGCATATAAGTCGAAGTTTATCTGTTCCTTTTATCCTACGAGGCTAAAAGCGATATCTTGGGCCCTTCGATGATTTTGTTTTGACTTATGTGTCGGGCCCAGTCAGGACTGAATTGATGTGTTCAAGTAAGTTCTGTGTCAGAAAAATCAGAGATCGAGAAACAAACTGTTGGACAATAAGTATGACTATGTTCCATGTGATTGTCCACACGATATCTTGAGAACGGAGGACTATACGATCCCTTATCTATAGGACGTGTCAGAGTTCGACAGTGGCTTTTGAGAGCTACGATTGTTAGTCAGATTTTGAAGTCATACTTGTATTTATAGTTCTTAGACTTATCCAAGTGGGAGACTGTTGGATTAGGTGTCTAAGCCATAACTATATTTGGTACGTACTTGACCCAGTTGTAGCATGGTCCTTTTGAGTTGCCTTCATCAGAGCAACTTGACTGGATTAATAATGGAGAAAGATGTTATTATGGTTTATTAATATATTATATGAATAATATATTAAAAGAGAAATCGTATTATTTAATTAACATTGGTCAAGAATTAATTTAGAATTAATTTTGTGGTCAAAATAGGTTAATTGAATTAAGGGGACTGAACTTGTAATTATAAGATAATTGCATTTTGGGTTGAGGAACCCTTGGAAAAGGGGATGGACGATTTTATGGGGAAGCCCATGTTGAAATCGTCCAAGGGGCTTGATTCTGGAAGATTCTTGTGGGCTGCTTAGAGCCTAAGCAACCGGATGAGGTCTTTGACTGAAACACTAATTCCTCAGCTATATAAGGAACCCCCTGGCTCCCCAATTCGGCTACCACTTGAACCCTAGAGATTCCAAGAGCCGATTTTTGCCTTCCCCTCTCTCCAAGATCATCCAATTGCTTTTTAGTGTTTGTAATCTATCAGAGACACAACATTTGAGGTGTTAAGGTTCTCAAAAGCTCAAGATCTTCAAGTAACAATCAAAGGTAACTTTCTAACTTGTTTATTAGATGTTAATTTTATTTTGTTGTATGCTAGATTAGGGTTTGCAAGTCTTGGACAATTGTTGCATGTACAAATAGAAAAACTAGATCCAAACATCAGGGTTTGCATGAACGCCATAGGAATGTTATTTTGCTCATAACCCAACAAACCCTTCATAGGGTTCAGTTTTTTTCCACAAGAAAATAAGATCATGTCAAGAGCTAAGTCATCTATATTGGTGTGGGACTTCATCAAAGGAACTATGTTTTGGGTTCCAAATCATCCAAACAACATCAAAGAATAAGTTTAATTCAAAGTCTACAAGGGTATGTTTCCATGTCTTTCTTGTTAGTTTTTGTTGTAAAGTGCTCATGAATCTGTAATCCTTTATGGGATATGTTGACTTTATGCTTTCGATGTCTTTGTGACTTTGTTTTAATTTCTACAAGTATTCCATCATTTCAATCTACTTATTTTTTACAACTTTATTTCACATAAAATTATCTTTTAAACCTTCTTCATTATGAGTGGCTTCAACCCTAATTGTACCTCTGGTATCTTATTTCTAGTTCGTATTTGCATTCGTTGTTCCATTTTGAAGAACCTAATTCTTGTTTTTATTTGCATTTTGTATTTTATTTCATGGAGTCCGCTTCTTGTTCTCTTGTGCATTTGGTGTTCCATTTTAAAGAACCCCATTTTACACACACACACAAACACCGTTGAATTTGAGTGGATTAATATTGCCTTATGTTCTTGAGTTCTGGAATCGATAAGAGCATCTACATCCCTACGTTTTTAAATTTACATTGACCATTTGTTTATTCACCGAAAAATGTATGTTGACCGCACACTTACCGGAGATGTCATCATCATAACCCGGTTGAATTTGTAATAGTTAGTCAAAATGATATTTTATGGATATAATAATAAAATTTAACAGTAAATTACATACACACAAAAAAAACCCTTAAAATATGTTCAAGGATCATAATTTGTTACCATGAAGTCACTAACCTTCATAATCCATGTAACCAATATTGTGTATTCAATTGGTAACCATTTATTTGTTCTTTAGCACATCAATACCAAAAATGGTATTTCTAGTATACTAAAAATGTCATCATCAACAACTTTTCTTGTTATCAGAAATAACTCACCAAATAAATATGCAGTTACACATGTGGACATAAATTTACGTCCCCTAAATGAAAAGAAAATTTATTTTGGGGATAAAAACAACAAAAACATAAATAGAGGGACGTCATGATAACACGCCTTTTGACAAAAATCCAAATCGGTCCCTCTGAATCTAATTGTTCCACCAGAAAAAGCTTCTCTCTCTCTCTCTCTCTCTCTCTCTCTCTCTCGTCCTTTAACGCGTTCACGCGTAAATGGGTGGCGACTATATAACCTCCGTCGTCTCCTCCATCTCCTTCAGCAGGTGCAGACGAAAATTTTCTTCCATGTTCCCTGCATCTGTTTCTAGACCCTGTTCTTCGTTTTCAGGGAAATAGCCAAATAGGAAATAGAACAATATCCAGTTTGTTTTCTTTCAAATTTGTTCCGACAAAAACGAATTCCAGCTTGGTATAATTACGGATATATCTGAAATTCAATCGAGAGTTTATCTCTTTATAGATACCCAATCAATTATTTAAAGATGCCGCAATTGAATGAACAACTGTTTCCTTCAACCCCAGGTAAAATTAAGATCGAGCGTGCCCATCATCATTACACGATGAACAGAGCGGTTCACCGGTGTTTCACCTCCACCAGCACGATTTTTCTCTGGGCTTTGTTTTTGGTAGCTCTAATGGCGTCGTATATGAGCATCCAAAGCTTCGTTGATTCCGGTAGCAGGTACCTCCACCACACAACGTCGCGAGGTCACGGTGGCATTGGTGGGCTCCTTTGGGAGAAACAAATCCGTTCATCGGCTCAGATCCGTCGTTCTAATGGTATCTCCGTTCTCGTTACCGGCGCAGCCGGTTTCGTCGGAACACACGTCTCCCTGGCGTTGAAGAAACGCGGCGACGGCGTTGTTGGTGTTGATAACTTCAACGACTATTACGACCCATCGTTGAAAAAGGCACGGCGTGGTCTTCTCGATTCACACAACGTCTTCATCGTCGAGGGTGATATCAACGACCGGCAACTTTTAGCAAAACTATTCGACGTGGTGGCGTTTACCCACGTTATGCACTTGGCTGCGCAGGCCGGAGTCCGATACGCCATGGAAAACCCACACTCATACGTCCACAGCAACGTCGCCGGACTGGTTACGCTTCTTGAACAATGCAAGTCAGCCGACCCACAACCCGCCGTCGTATGGGCCAGCTCCAGCTCCGTCTACGGGTTAACGATAAGTCGCCATTTTCCGAATCCGACCGGACCGACCAACCGGCGTCTCTCTACGCCGCCACAAAAAAAGCTGGTGAAGCGATTACACATACGTACAACCATATTTACGGGTTATCAATCACCGGACTGAGGTTTTTCACTGTTTATGGCCCGTGGGGACGACCGGACATGGCATATTTCTCTTTCACCCGAAATATTCTACAGGGGAAACCGATAACTGTCTACAGAAGAAAAAATCGGGTCGATTTGGCCCGGGATTTTACATATATTGATGATATTGTGAAAGGTTGTGTGGCGTCGTTGGATACATCTGGTAAGAGTACCGGGTCGGGTGGGAAGAAGAGAGGAGCAGCGCCGTACCGGATATTTAATCTTGGAAACACGTCGCCGGTGACGGTGCCGACGTTGGTGAGTATACTGGAGAAGAATTTGAAGAAGAAGGCGAAGAAATACGTGTTGGAGATGCCTGGAAACGGCGACGTTCCGTTCACTCATGCAAATATCAGTTTGGCCCGAAGGAAACTCGGGTATAAACCGACAACCGATTTGCCAACCGGGTTGAGAAAATTTGTTAAATGGTATTTATCGTATTATGGCTACGATCAAGGAAAGCCTGTAAATTTTAAATAGCTTTTATTATCTTTTAAATTAGAATATTTTGTCAATTATTTTTCTTTTTTATTAGCTTTTTAGGGAAAAGAAAGAAAAGAGAGATATTTGTTTTTTTTTTTTCAACAAAGGTGAAAGAGAAATCTTATCCTGGTTAAATTTTGTTTTTTATTTGTATCTTATAATTAATGAAGTATGAAATGGTGTTTTTCATCTTTAATTTTCTAGTTAATTCGATATTTATGTTTTGAACATCGATTAATTTTTACACATGTATTCTGAAATTATCGTATATTTGTTCTGAAATTGTTTTATGAACTGTCTTACAATAAAGAAAAAATATTTATTATTTTTTTTTTGTAAATTTTTAACCTCTAATAAAGCATTTTATAAAAATATTATATTGTAAATTAGTTGCAAAATTAACGGTTTTTTATTGTTATTGGTTTAAAGATACTTATCTAATACTAAGACTTTTGATATTTTAATGATTATCTATTTATCTCTTTATTATTTTAATGATTATCTTTTTTTATTATTATATGTAGAGGCCTATAGTTTATTATTTCAAGTATGTATGCGCATGCAAGAGTGACAAGTTTTATAAAATTCAACTTTTTATAAGATGATTAATGAATAAAGAATAAATATATAAGGGCCATCTCCGTAACTATAAATTCAAGGAGAAAATACAAATCTAGCCAAAATCCTTAATTATTTAACAAAAATTAGCCGAAAAAAACCACTTAGCCAAAAATAGCCCACAAAAGAGTAGTCAACTGTAGGTTGACTACTGTTTCGCCAAATCGTCTACTGTTTCGTTTTTGTATAATTTTTTTTTTCATTTTTAGGATACAAAACCGTAGGTTTTTTAAAACCTACGGTTTCCCCAAAACAGTAGTTAAAACCTCAAAAACAATAGATTTAAAAAATAAATAAAAAAAAAAACGTATTTTTTCACCCAAAACCGTAGCTACGGTTTGGGAAACCGTAGGTTTCGAGAGGAAACCGTAGATTTTAAAAAACCTATGGTTTTGTATCCTACAATGAATTTTTTTTTATACAAAACACGAAACAGTAGACGATTTGGCGAAGCAGTAGACGAATATCGAAACCTACGGTTTCGTGGGCTATAATTGGACATTTACTAATTTTTGGCTATAAATTGCTAATGACTTCCTTAATTTGGCTAGATTAGTAATTGCCCCTAAATTCAATCCGAAAATTGGAATTTAACATTTAAAGGCATAGGCACATTATAGCAAACCAATCATCTTTAATTTTAGGGTTTAGGTCATTTTTGGTCACTTAACTTTTGGTTTTGTACTCATTTGGTCATTTAATTCTTTTTAAGTTTTAAAATGTCATCAAACTTTTGACTTTGTGCTCATTTAGTCACTTAACTTTTGGTTTGGTCACTTAACTTTTAGATTTGTGCTCATTTAGTCATCTAACTTTTAAAATTGTGCTCATTTAGTCACTAAACTTTTGAAAAAATTTAAAAGTTTAGTGACTAAATGAGCACAATTTTAAAAGTTAGGTGACTAAATGTGACCAAGCCAAAAGTTAAGTGACTAAATGAGCAAAAAGCCAAAAGTTTGATGACCTTTTAAAACTTAAAAATAGTTAAGTGACCAAATGAGCACAAAACGAAAAGTTAAGTGACCAAAAATAACCTAAACCCTTAATTCTATTGGTGTGTAAAATGGTATAACCTATGTAATGAAAAAGGGGATGAAACAAGTTTACATGATTGTGCAAGGAAGAATGGGATTGTATAATGTGCATTAAAAACCAAACTTTTAGCTACAGTAATTGACAGAGTGAAAGTAGTTTACAATTTATATATATATTTATAATTTATTTAATAAGTGTAGTATCCAAATTTGAGCAATTCTCTAAAGTCTGAGTTCTGAACAACAGTCCATTTTACTAATAAAAACCTTTCTATCGTATAAAGTTAACAAATAAGTTAGTGATGCTACAGAAACAATTATTTGTGGGGACTAATCTGGTAAGAATAAGAAGCGGGAGGGGTAGGTGTGTGCATTTATTAAAGTTTACAACAGAGACAGCAAAAGGATAAACTGCATTATTAAAGGTTGTACGTTTTAGGGAAATTGCAAATTAGTCCAATATAGTTCTCTTATATTGCGAATTGACCACTGTAGTAATAAAGTTCTTGTTTTGTCCACCGTTGACCGAACGGCTGTGCTATACGCTTCATAACGGTGATGTGGCGACGAGCTCGAGGATGACAACACCGTGCGCGCCACCATGGAGTGGCGTTGTGTTGAGTTGTAGCCCTGAACATGGCCTTATGTGTTTTGCACCACCACCATTACACAAGCGTTTTGTCTATCTGCAACGATTGTGACCTGTGTGCAGAGTTATTAAGACTGGTCGGAGTGGGCAACGCCCACTCACGTGTTTTGAAGAAAAAAAGAAGAAAACGACGTTAGAGGATGTGGTGGTGGTAACGAAAAGTAACGTGCAAGCTAATAACGCGCAATAACAAGGAGGTGGGGCGGTGTTTGCGCCGTTATAACATGCAATAACACCCCCTTGGGCGTTGCCCGCACCCAACTGCCTAATGCTAAATATTAACCTAACTATTGTGAATATTAACTTAACCATTTATCTAGTTATTGGGGCAATATTAATGTTAAATAACTACCTACCTTAAGGCATTCAATATGCATTAATACGACATTTCAAACATTTTCTTTGCATTTCGGTCTATAGTACTTCACTTACTAATAAAAACTAAACAAATACAAGGAACCAAGAACTTACCCGTAAAACCTTAAACTCATCGGAGTCGTATGTAATTTTTATTTTTTAAATTTGTCTGAAAATATGAAGCTATTTTTGTGCAGATTCCGTATTGGCTTTAGTGGCCATTTAGTCTAGAGCCCAATGCGGAATGAGTTGGGTCGGTTTACTCAAATATATATATATATATATATATATATATATAATATATATATATATATATATATATATATTATCTTACATTTGATGTGTGCTAGAATGCATCAATAGAAATTTAGTAAATTAAATAATTATTTAATTAAATAAATATAGATATTAAATGATTTCCATAATTATATGTATATTAAATGATATCCATAATTATAATTCTCTTTTTATGAAAACTAATTAAATTCGTCATTAATGTCAGCCATAACATTCTTTCAGAATGAATTTGCATCTAGGTTTTATATATGAGTTCATATTTTGTTTCAGAACTCACTCACTTAAAATACAATAAAGTTGCATTGAATATGAAGAACGAGAGTGTATTCTACTTGAATACACTTTCATTCTTCTAGATATAAGTTCATTCTGAAAGAATATTATTGCTGACATTAATGACGAATTTAATTAGTTTCCATAAAAATGAGTTATAAGTATGGATAACATTTAATATACATATAATTAATACTAAATTCTTATTGGTGCATTTTAGCACACAATAGATGTGAGAAACATTTGAACTTATATATATATATATATATATATATATATATATATATATATATTATGGTTAGTTTAGTTTATTTTCCTTGTTTAAAGTTTGTTACCCTAACTGTGGGAGACAAGATAGAATGTTCAAGTGTTTTAGGAGTGTCCGAGACTTGGTTTGTATGGATTTAAACTCAACCTCGATGCATATTTTTTTATGATGAAAATTACTTTCTCTTTACTTGATGTAATAAACAAAAATAGAAATGTACATTACCATTTCTAAAGTACTAGGCATATTTTTCAAAAAAGCTCATTAAGTATATTTTTCTTGGAAGAAGACTTAGATCTATTTGCATGAGATTGGCCTTAATAATCACATTGTATTATGTTCCAAAAACAATTAACCACTTTTTTAATTCAGAATTTTGAAGTAGTTGTTGAAGTCGTCCAACTACTATATCTGAAAAATAGTTTGAAAATTATGAGAATTTTGAAAACTCTGATATTTTATAATTTGATGTTGATTTGTTTTATCTGAAAAATTAGTTTGAAATTTCATTATTTTCGAAATCATTTGTTTTCTAAATGGGGTTAACTTATTTATTTAGATAGTTAAATAGGATGAAAAGTATTTTTGAAGTAGTTTTAATTTTGGTGTTTTGTCAAATTAAGATGTACATAATTTTGAAGTAGTGTTAATTTTATGCTTTGATAGTAAATTAAGGGGAAAATGACTCTTGAGGGTAATTAACTTTTGCGTTTGTACTCATTTGGTCCCTTTCCTTTTTTTGTATTCAATATACCATCGAACTTGTTGTTTGCGTTCACCATAACCCTTTTGACCGGCTTTTGACCTGTGATAGCCGGTCAAAGGGTTATGGTGAACACAAACAACAAGTTCGATGGTATATTGAGTATAAAAAAGGAAAGGGACCAAATGAGAACGAACTCAACAGTTGGTTACCCTCCTGAATCATTTTCCCCGAAAAGTTAAATGAAATTAAAGTTGCAAAATTATCAAAGACTGCAACCTTCTTTGGCTATAACGTATATGAAGAGCGTTTCAAAGGGGTAACCTCGTTAAAACATGGTCTATGCTATGCTTACTGTGGTTAGCTTTCAACACCTCTCTACAAAAGGATATGACTGTGTATGAGAGGTATATTTATCAGCATAAACGTTTACCTCAAGGTATATTATGGTGACGTGTCTACAAAAGTAACTAGTACTAAAATTGGATGCATAATAACACTAACTAGTCATCTGTTTTTCTCCTCTTAGATATTCATATGAAAATTTTATTTTTCCTCATCGATTAATACTTGTTTTTTCCAGAATAATAGTTAATAGTTTAAATCCAAAGTAACTTATTATTCCAACACCTTCTTTTCACAAGTGCTCATTTAAATTTGTTTGATTTGACCTAGACCTTATTGTCCATATATCATCATCTCCAAGTGTGCCGATGTGTGTTTGGATATTTGACTGAAAAAGACTTAAGACCTGAAAAAATAGGGAAATAGAGTTATTAAGGTAATTAACTTTTCGGT